CTAGCGTGGAATGTATATGATGATCTACACCTTATCTAAGCCTGACCTCTGTTGCTGACTTTCAATTAAACTTTCCTTTTTGAAACAAATGTCCAAATCCGCTTTTATTTAGATCCTAGTTCAGTACTGTAGGGGGCTTAAACGATCGAAAGTATGTTGAAGCAGCCTACTCTCAGTACTACCGTGAATTTATCTTAATAAATACTTAATGCACTCCTACGTATAGTCTTCAGGATCGAAGTATTATCAAACAAATCACTTCCTTTAAACTTAAGGGCTAAATTCCACTATAAAGATTATGAAATATGTGCCCATGCTTTATCGCTAAATCCTTTATTTGAAAATTCCAATTTCCGCACCAATGCAAGTTAGAGGGTGGACTTGAACTGAGGTTTGCGCTCGAAAAACTTTACTCATTTTCAGAGTAAGGTTAACGTGACTATGGTAAGTACAATAAACTCAAAAAATGAGAACTTATACCTAAATAGTGGTTATAATCGTGAACTTTCGTATCAATATGTTAAGTGGCAAAGAAAAAGCAGCTTCAACTTCTTGATTCTACCGTTGCAGGTTTAGATCCTTTTGAAACCAGAAATTTAAATATAAGGTAGCCCTCCGAGTCAAATTATGAGGTCCAAATCGCTAAACAATAACCATGTAGAGCAATAGAAAAGAATGAAAGCTGCCACACCAAAACGAAAATATTAAATTGAAATCGTCCAACAAGAGAAGTAAAAATGGTAGACGAACAGTAGAAACAGTGAAAACTGATAGTCTTTAACATGAGTTAATGAGAAGAATTTATGGTCTTCTATCAAATATTGAAGTGAATTTCATCCAAAAATAAGAACGAAAAGTGAAGTTCTGCGAAAGGGATGAAAAGTGGCTTAGCACCATAAAAGCCATCAAAGTCAAAAGGTAAGAATTAAAAACAGAACAGAGAAAAATAGTTATTTTTTTCTCTAGTAATTGTTGGAACAATGTTATGCGTACACAAGGGGTTTACAGCGCTTTTCGAACAAATCAAGAAACTGTTTTAATTTCTAAACATACCTGGAAAATATCACTA